TGCTTCGGCTGGATTCGTGTCCGAGTGTTATGGACGAATCAATGATTGCTTCGGCTGGATTCGTGTCTGAGTGTTATGGACGAATCGATGATTGCTTTGGCTGGATTCGTGTCTGAGTGTTATGGACGAATCGATGGTTACTGTATCCGGTTGATGATGGATCAGTGTTGGGTGACTTGGTCACGTGTTGGTACCACATGCATAGTGTCTGCATTTGTGTTTGCATGGAATTGTAATATGTTAGGATGTCTTCCAGTGTTACAATTCTTTGGTTGACTATTGATTTGTGCATAATGACTTGTATGATTGAAACTGTGTGTTGAATCTGAGTTATGCTAAAATGGGTGAAATAATATGTTTGTGATATACTGTTGATTGAGAAGCTTATAATGCATGTTAATTATGAGAAATCTCACCCTTACTTTAATGATTTCAGATTAAAGTTAGCAGCTCAGGAGTTGGTGAGGATGGCTCTAGAGCTATGTTACTTTAAGTCCGCGTGTCAGTGTCATGCTCTGATAGGTTGTAACACTGGGGGAAACGTTTCAATGATGAGTTTTATTTTATACTTTATTGTGTAATTGATGTTGGGAATACTTATGAAGTGAAGTTATTCCAGTTTTGAGACATTTCCGCTGTGTAGAACATGATATTGATTTAAATATTTATAATAATAATTCCTTCAGTAAAGCATTATAACTGTAAATTTGAGGTTTTTATATTTATCTTGAATTGTGACATCCCTGTTTTCCATGTTACTCTGATTTAATTAATATATTCGCGGGTTATTTAGAAGGGGTGTTACACTAACCACCATATGGGCTATTGTACCATTGCATTGGAACCATGCCTTTGCAAGTTACTTCAAAACCAAGCATCAAAACTATAACTTGTTATCTCAAGATTCTGGTTACTTCAAGATGTCAAACCTTTTTCCTATAAATAGAGGGATCATTTGCAAGCCATACCACGAGTTCACAAGCCCTCAAACAATCTCAAGCTCAGAATCACCAAGAAAACTCCATTATTGCACATTTGAAGCTTCAAACACCCAACTTCAAATCCACTCGTGCTTTTTACTTTTTTATCATCCAAACATCATTTATACATCATATAGAAGCCATTCATACCACTATTTCATCACTGTAACACCTCCACCACCATTGACTAAACCTCACTCTACACCACCATAACTTGACTTGTCCAGAAGAATTGAGGCACTATTAATCCAAGGAAGGCATTGCAAAAGCTTCATGGGAGTTCAGTGAAGCTATCCAGATCATCCTAACACCTCCAGAAGTGCTCTAACTTCAAACTCGATTCTCACTTGAGGTGAGTTTTCTAAACTTTGAAATCTCTATAGAAGCATCATTTGCATTTATTTTCTAAAGCAAAATTGTGGATATCAACGCCCTGAACCTAACCATGTCCTTAGTTTTCATTTATTTTAACTGTGGGATGGGAATTTTGGATTTGAAGTTTCTAAGATATTAGGGTTCAGTTTGGCACCAAACAAAATTTGCCCTAACCATTTATCTATAGCTTTTGAAAGTTATATGGTTGGATTCGTGGTGAAAAATCAAGTAACTTTCATGTTTATATTTTTTAAAATGGTTGAGAAATGAGAGTTTTATAAATTTGAACATTGTTGTTGTTGTTATTGTAAACGCGTGCGAGAAAGAAGATAAAGTCCATTTTTGAAAACTTGTTCATTTTATATTTAATGATTGTTGTTTTACAATCGGATGTAACAGTCATCCCAGTGGCAGCGCGCGTGTGTTTAAGTCATAATTATGCCTGGTCACGGGTTCGAACCAGGCGTGGGACATTTTTCTTTTTCACATTTATTTCTTTCAAATTCAATACAAGCAAGGCAATAGCGCGCATGGTATACCTCATGACTGGACCATCAGATCATCATGCAATGTTGGGCCTGGAATTTTTGATTTCTCACCCCCCCTATTTTTCTTTTACAGCGCCGGGCCCACTCTATTATTATTTTTTATTTTTCAGCTTTAAACAAAAAACTTATTGTTGGGGCAGGATATTTTTACTTCTTTCTCACCCCCAATTTGCTTATGCTGGCCCATTTTAATTTTCTTTATTTTATTTTATTTAAACATTTTTTTAATTAATTTTATTTTAATGAACAAAAATCATATAATCATAAAATTTAGATTTAGGTTTTTTTTAATTAACTATTTTAATTTTTTGATAAATAAAAATTATTTTATTTTAATCACCTTGATTTTATTTTATTAAGACTAGGTTTTTATACTTCAATTATTTTTCTAAACAAAAACAAATACAAAAATATTTTCTAAATACTTAGATTTCTTTAGGTTTTACTTATATAATTTAATTTTTGATAATAAAGAATTAATTAATTTAATCACACCTTTTTTTTTAAATAAATCAATTGTAAATAAAATTAGAGTTAGGTCTAACTTTTTTTTTCATTTCAAATATTTTCTAAACAAAGAAATAAATAAATATTTTTCTTAAAGTACTTAGAATTTTTAGGATTTTTTTACATTTTTCCCCTTTCTATCTTCGTGCATTTATTTATTTTTCGCGTTAGTACAATTGTGTAACTGTCGAAGGTTTGTAATAGATAATTAGAATTTATTGTCCCCCCCCCCATTCATAAACTTGTACCTTCACTCCCGAAGCGTTGTAATAACGTAGGATATTTAATTTCCTCAATTTACTGCTTTCCTTATTACTGTTAGTAATTAGGGTTTGTATGGCAAGATTAAAAATCAACTGTTAGATAACCTAATCTCAAAGCCAAATACTTGAAATCAAAACACTTTGCACACATACACCTCTAGGGTTACTCTCACTTGTTGCCTCAGATTTAAACAATCACGTCCCTCGAACGTGAGATGCTTTAGCAAAGACCCTCGGTTAAAAGATCGCAATCCCTCGATGACCCTTCGATGCTGCCTTCGGTAAACGATCTTAGTCCCTTACGACAATTGCTAAAGCGTCTTACAAAGTTGCCTTCTATGATTGTATGATAACCCACGCCTATCCCTCACATCTAATGATAGGGCTTCCTACTAACTAATGGTATATCTAAAGGAGGAGGAAAATAACAAAGAATTTTTTAGTATGTAGATCGCTCGTAATCGCTTTCTCACAAACTAAAACCATTTCCATAATTCACACTTTCAAAATAACCACTTTCAAAATACTTTATAAACACCCTTGAGGACTGATACAAGGGTTATTATAAACCAAATTGCCTTACATTGGCATTTTCAAAACACTTTCCAAAACAAACACTTCCTTTCACAAATATTTTCAAAACAAATATTTTGTATACATTCTAAATGATACTAGAATCATTACAAAATTACCACACTTAGGCGTTTTCAAAATATTTTCAAACATACAAACACAAAATCATTTCAAAAGTGAGCTAGCAATTAAGAGTCCGTAGATAACTACGGATGAAAAGGATGCTAACACCTTCCCTTTTCATAACCTACCCCCCGAACTCAAAAAAATTCTCAAAGATATTTCCTGTTCTTTTCACCCTTTCCTTTAACGGATAAAAGAAAAGTCGATGGTGACTCTTGCATCTACAATATTTACAGCAAAATGCAAAACCCGAAAATCAATTCTTCCACCGTATTACACCAGTCATCTTCCAGCTGCTGCTTAAAATCCTCATGCTCATCCCACATTCTAAAGTATTTAAAAGGTTTTTTCCATGTTTGATTATCAGCCAAATAGTCAAGATTGTTGGAGAGTGATCAGACAAGCTTTCTGTCATACTCCAAATTTGTCTGCCCTTTTATTTCTACAGTCAAAAATATTTTAAACATTGTTTTTATAATATTATTTGATTTTTATAGATGTTCATTCTCAAGTCTAGTCAAAAATATTTTAAACATTGTTTTTATAATATTATTTGATTTTTATAAATATTCGCTTCCAAACCTATTTAAAAATATAATGATTTATTTTAAATTATTTGTATCTTTAAAATAACAAATATTTGCACGTATTTAAAATAACAAATATTTGCACGTCTTTCATATACTTTCAATTGAGTTTATTTACAAATGAGTAATATAGCACAATTGGTGAAGAATGAAACTTACAAATATGAGGGTGTGAGTTTGAATCTTGTTTGTTGCATTTTAGACATTTTTTAATTTATTTTTTGCTGCTAATTTTCTTCCCTTTTTGGATATCAAACTTTTGCCTTTCTTTTAGGCTTTTGGATAAACTTAGTCTCTACGTCTCTTTTTTAACCTAATTCACTCTATAAATAGGACTATTGTTATCCTAGTCTCTAACACACAAATCAACAATCATTTACAAATTCTCACAAATTTCTATCAAGAATTTCACAATTCATCCAAAACTCTTTCTGTTGGTTTATTCTAAAATTGTTGACTATATCAGACAATAACCTAAGAACGATTCTTTTTCTTTCCAATAACATTGGTGTTATATGAGGCCCCTCTTTACTATTTTCAATTTTATCTGCTAATTTTAATTTGATTCTCGTTCAATCGAGTGATGATCTTATACTGATGGTTATTATTTTTTATCTTTGAATATACAATATTCATAATTTCCAAAATCACACTAATCATTCTTTGTTCAAACCCTTATTTTAAAACCAACACATATATTACTATCATCTTCGTTTGTTACTGTAAACAAAAGAATCGCACTCTTAAACACTATTTTTTGTGACTCTTTCCACTAACTTTTATATTCATAACCTGTAACAGATATGTCTAACATAAACTGCACCGTATTATCATCAATGCAGATTTTTAGCATCAGTACAAACATCCCCTTTTCAATCAAAAAAATCACCTTGTTCAAATAACTAACAACACTGTTTCAAAACAACCTGCAGAGTTGTTCAAGCAACCAAACCATCACTATTTCTGTTTGCGCATTTGTTTTGTTTGTTGTGTCCAAATTTTTGCAGGAAAAGAGAATAAGGAAACAGGAACCGCGAAGTATAATCACCACCTTCTAATTCGCATCATCCATGGCCAATAACCAATAGCCAAACCTTGATTCCTATTCACAAATTGAAGACCGAATATTACACATAACAACAATGTTCCTCCAAGCCTGTAAAACAGAGAAGTAAATTCAATACGATTGAAAGGAAACAGAGGAAGAAAGTTGGAAACACAAGGCTTCCACTCAACACTCCACTCGGCAATCATCACAAGTCTTGCACAAAGTTGTCGCTTCCAGACGCCAGAACTCCGATTCACCCCGGACGACACTGCAACGACCACCGGGCAGATCCGACGAAGCCGCACAATGAACCACAGTGACGCTGCAGAACCGCCCAGATCGCGATCTTGTTATGGCCAAATTGACGCACATCCATCCAACTACAACCTTCCATAAGACAATCTTATCTCATAATCCTCTTCAACACCATCCGCGAGCAGCTCCAGCCCCTTATAGACGCCTTCGATCGGCCGACCCTCTGTTCATTTTTGACGACCCCAATGCTCCCTCTGTGATTCCGAAAAAGCATGCTTTGGGGTTTTGAGAAAAACATTGAGATCTGGGAAGAATGAGAAGAAGATGGTGAGAAGGAAGAAGAAAACGCATGCGGAGAGAGAAAGGGAAGTCTTTTTTTTTTTGTTTCTTTTCTGACTTATTGTTTGGATAGTATGTTATTTTGTTGTATTTATTACGCAAAGTGGTAGTATATTATTGGATTGTAAAAATTGTTAAAAAGAAATGATGCATTTTGAGAATTTTTTTTATTAATAACTATGTATTAAAATAATATTTCACAAATAACTGGGTTTCGGAAAAAATTACGCAAATAACCATGTTTCAGATGGCTCCACAAAGGAGGAGTCATCTCACTTGGCGCCTCCACCTAGGGTTTTGCCCTAGGCGCCATCTCACTTGGCGCCTCCACCTAGGGTTTTGCCCTAGGCGCCATCTCACTTGGCGCCTCCCTTGGCTTTTAGCCAAGTGAGATGGCGCATGCTCCTTAAAAATGAGAGGAGGCGCCATCTCACTTGGCGCCTAGGGCAAAACTAGGGCAAAATGCTGTTTTATAAATAATTCGTCCGTTTCTTCGAAATTTCTCACACTTTCTCGCACTGTATTTTTATTTTGTACTCCGTCATTTGTGTAATGACGTCGCCTATGATTTTTAGCAGAGATGGTTACGTTATATTCTCCGCCACGAAACCTGCGATGAAAATGAAATTCTGGCACATTCACTCCATGGAGCGTCTGAAGCGGGAGTTGATGCGGTGGCTAGATGGAGACATCGCGGAGGGGGAAAAAATTCGAAGGATCCAGCGAAAACGAACAACAACCTCACATGCGACAGGAAGACCTAATGTGTGGTTGGAGGAAGTCAAAACAGACAGTGATGTAATGCTGATGATGCATGGGTCAGATGAAATTGTGTTAACAGTTGTAATTTCCTAGATTGAATATCGTTAATTATTGTTGTACGCGTTTTATTAACTGTAGCAAAATCTGTTAACGGAAAACCCTAATGTTTACAACACAAATATTGAAAAGATTTATTGTATTACAATATTTATGTGGTCGAGCCAGACGCCCGATTCGGACAGTTTTTGCGATTGTGTCCGACCTGACGGCATAAACCACACTTTCTTTCCAACCTGTCAAGATCGTCCATTTCTGTTGTGATGCGCCTACTTTTGGGACGACCCTTCTTGTTCCTTCGCATTTGGTCATTGTGCCAAACTATATCGCCGTTGTATTCAGGCCAATTATCCGGTTTTGCCACCAAAGGAAAGTTGTTGTTGTAAACAGTGAGCAACGTTTCAGATTTGTAAACGTTTGACAGCAGTTGAAGCGCGTCTTGATGGGTATGAGCACAAGCCGCAATGACATGAGAGCAAGGTATACAAAATGCTTAAAACCTGCCACAATCGCACCATTGAGAAGGTAAAATGACCCTGTATTCTTGTCTTGGCAGGTCTTCATTGTGGTCGATTGTCTCTTTCACAATGAAGTTTTGGCTGTGTCGGTCAAACCGTGTAACCATGTGAGTGTTGGCTTTAGCACTTTCAGCCTTAATGTATTTCATGCAGCTTTCACTCCATAGTTGTCCTGATTGCAACACCGCATTCCACATTTCACCTCTTTTGGCAAATAACGCAGCCATCCTAAAATACGTAGATTTTACCAAGGCAGTGATTGGGAGGTTTCGTATGCCATTGAATACCCCATTCATTGATTTAATAAGATTCGTTGTCATATGCCCCCATCTTTGGCCATTGTCGTATGACCTAGTCCACTTTTCCACCGGAATATTGTCGATCCACCTACCGGCTTCTGGATTAGACAAATGGATCTCGTTGCGGTAATATTTGAATGTGGGTTGTGTCAATGCATATCCCGCATTCATAAACGCTTTCCTCAATGTTTTGTCCTTGACCTCCCTCGATAAATTATGGACGATATGCTTGACGCAATAGACATGCGTAGAAGGAGGGTCATGCCAACCATTTGCTGGATTATTGTAGGCACTTTCAATGGAGGCATGTCTGTCCGAGATCAAACAGAGATCTGGTTGAGGAGCCACGTGTGTCCGAAGATTTTTTAGGAAAAAGCTCCAAGCACCACCGGTCTCCCCCTCGACAAGGGCAAACGCAATGGGGAAAATGTTGTTGTTGCCATCTTGTGCAACTGCCGTCAATAGCGTGCCTTTGTACTTCCCATACAACCAAGTCCCGTCAATTTGTAGAATTGGTTTGCATGATGCAAACCTTGTGATGCATGGTTGAAATGCCCAAAACACGCGACTGAATATTCCGTTGCCATGCAGTAGACTACCATCTTGGGCGTACGTTGGCAATGTTTCCAGAACATAAACACTACCTGGAGAATACGTCTTGAGTGCATTCAGGTAGCGGGGAATTTCTCGGTATGACTCCTCCCAGTTTCCGTACACCCTTTCAATCACCTTAGTCTTTGCTAACCACGCCTTACGGTAAGACGGATTGTAGTTAAAAACCGTGGTGATGTGGGAGATGATTTTTTTCACCTTCAAAGATGGGTCGTTGCTGACCAGGGGTAGGATTTCTTGACAGATTAGATCATGGTTGAGTTTTCGGTGGTCCTGTGATTGAGTGGAACTTACACAAGTGTGGGTAGTCATGGAACCTATGACCCAACAGTCACCCCTTAATCTGTATGATGCGGTCAGCTTGAACATACAGTCAGGGTGGACACACTTGATCTTGTACCTTTCCGGGTTGACACGATCCACCTTAAAATCAACCGAGTTGAGCATGTGAAATTTTTTAATGGCCCTGATGCATTCCTCTCTGTTACGAAACTTGTCATTCTCTTTTAAATTTTCATCCGACTGCATATACGGTTTGAAAAATAAGTCAGTAGAAGGTTCATCTCCGCCCATGTTGAAGTTTGTCATGTGCGGAGGTGGTGTGTAGATTTTGTCTGTAGGAATACTAGGGATGCCATCATCGTCAGAATCATCGTTCACCATTTCATCAAACTCTAACTCGTTATCTTCTTCTTCATCATCAACTGCATCTACCTCATCTTGTTCATTCTCCAAAGGATCAACCTCCTGTGTCACCGGAGGCTCTACCTCCTGTGTCACCGGAGGCTCTTGAAGCAAAACGTACAACTCAATAGAGTCGTATCCAGAATAGACATGGCTGGAAATCATATTCTGGAGATCCTCGTCATCTTGAACTTCAACCTTATAAAAAATTACTTGGTTGTTTCCAAAAAAAACTGGATTCTGATAAAATATCTGGGACACCGGGCCTCGTTCAAGTTTGGCCTCCAATCTTTTCTTGAAGTACGAGAAATTGGCTTTCCCGTTTAAGAGAAATTGAACGTTGTCGGTGTTTCTAAACAAAAACCCAACTGTGGGACAAATGTATGTCTCACCGTTGAAATGTGCTTTGACGACAAATTGTGGTGAAGAGGCCATTGCGTAGAATTGTTTTAAGGTTTGAAGGTTGGAATGTTTAAGGTTTATTGATTGTATGAAGGTATGAATGCTGTAATGTTTGAAGGTTGGAATTTATGAATTTGATGACTGATTCGAAGGTTGGAAGATTTGACAGATTATGTGAATCAATGTTATGTTAAACGTAAGGCTACAAATTTCAATTAAGTAAGGATGCAACCCCCCAAGGCTTCCAATAATATTACATGCAATAATGAAACCCCATAGGCTGCCACCTATCCTGGCCCTATTCTGCACATATACATGTTTTTTGTAAGACTCCACCCATCAACTCAAATGGCCTTGCATGCAATAAAGAAAGGAATCCCAAAGGCTGTCACGTAGCCTGAGCCTATGCTGTAACAAATGACACCTCTTATTCGCCAAATAGGGTGGCGACACCATTCATTTTTGTACTCTTTCGCCAAGTCCAATGGCACCTCCCTTACTATCCAATCGTGATACATGCATGGGCTTATGAAACCCCATAGGCTGCCACCTATCCTGGCCCTATTCTGCACATATACATGTTTTTTGTAAGACTCCACCCATCAACTCCAATGGCCTTGCATGCAATAAAGAAAGGAATCTCAAAGGCTGTCACGTAGCCTGAGCCTATGCTGTAACAAATGACACCTCTTATTCGCCAAATGGGGTGGCGACACCATTCATTTTTATACTCTTTCGCCAAGTCCAATGGCGCCTCCCTTACTGTCTAATCGTGATACATGCATGGGCTTATGAAACCCCATAGGCTACCACCTATCCTGGCCCTATTCTGCACATATACATGTTTTTTGTAAGACTCCACCCATCAACTCCAATGGCCTTGCATGCAATAAAGAAAGGAATCCCAAAGGCTGTCACGTAGCCTGAGCCTATGCTGTAACAAATGACACCTCTTATTCGCCAAATGGGGTGGCGACACCATTCATTTTTGTACTCTTTCGCCAAGTCTAATGGCGCCTCCCTTACTGTCCAATCGTGATACATGCATGGGCTTATGAAACCCCATAGGCTGCCACCTATCATGGCCCTATTCTGCACATATACATGTTTTTTGTAAGACTCCACCCATCAACTCCAATGGCCTTGCATGCAATAAAGAAAGGAATCCCAAAGGCTGTCACGTAGCCTGAGCCTATGTTGTAACAAATGACACCTCTTATTCGCCATATGGGGTGGCGACACCATTCATTTTTGTACTCTTTCGCCAAGTCCAATGGC